TTCCTGGCTTTTTTTTTTTTTTTTTTTCCTTTTTCGTTTTTCCCCTCGAATCTATGATTCGGCTGTTTTGCTACCTCTTCTCGCGAGCCGAGAAGATTGAGTTATCGAAGTCCCCTGTGATTTTCTCGGGAGAGAGAGAATTCCCTCGAGAGACGTCCATTTTGCGCCTATTAGGACGGGTTCCCGCGACTGCGAGACCATTGCTCGCGATAAATAGAAACTTGGATGGAAATGGTACTCTTGCTCGCTCGTTCGAAGTGGCGGTAGCGTGGGAAAAGGTCAAGCATCGTAACCGAGACGAATCGTAGATTGGACCGATCACCGAGTAATCGATTTGCGACAACGTACCCGAATGCACCCAAGATGGAAAAGTTGCAACGCCATTCAATTATCGTGACGTCGTGCGCATCGAAACGAACGAGTAAAACGCGTTCTTCTATCCTTTGCCGCGTAGTCGTTGCTTCGCTTCGCTCGTTTTCCTTTTCCCCTTCTTCAATCATTGGCGAACGCCATACTACATTTTAAAAAGTAAAATCCGTAAATACGTAATCGCGATTGATTCGTATATTGATGTACTGGTTCGTCGTTTGTGTTGACTTACGGTCGCGCATAAAAGTCCACTTACTTACTTCGAAGCGACGAAGAAAATCTCAAACACGAGATTCACATCGTCGAAAAATTATAATCAATTTAACACGTGATATATACGTTCATGAGCAATTTTTCATTAAAATCGCGATATTAAGTGAATTTTCTTGTAAGTTAATACCACGAAGACTTTTTTTTTTTGTAATTGAGTGTTTGTAACAAGGTATCGCGCATTAAATCCCGGTGTCTCGGCAACCGCGAGAGGCAAGAGGCGATAAATATAGTTACGAGTTAAAAACGCTCATTAATTATGTACACAAATTCGTATATTCGAATCTGGTGGTATCCGTATAAGAGTAACGGAGTCGACTTGGGTGGTGGTGGAAACGTCTGGTGGACAGCAAAACTGTGGAGTGAAGCGGAAAAAGAGGATTAAGAGAGACGGAGCGACGGATAGCCGCACAAATGAGTATTTATGAGCCAGCCACGGCTCTATATTATGCCTCATTTTGCCGGAGGATCGATTAGCTCTAATCGAGATGTACAAACAAAACGTTAATAAACGTTCGCTCGTTTCTCTCGTCCTCTCTTTTCGCTTCTTTCGCGAAAACCCGTATCGGAGGACGGGTAGGCAAAGAGACAGAGAGGGTAAAGAGAAAGAGAAGGAAAGCTAGAAAGAAATTAACCGGCTCTCGGATCGAGCGTGTGCTCGCTCGTACGTATAGGTATTCCCCGTGTGTGCGCGCCGCTCGTCGCGAGCACGTGACACGTGTTCCTCGCACGTGCTGCACGCACGTGTACGTGTACGTGAGCTCGAACGCGCCTCGCGATTAAGTATCGATTAGTCCGCGCGCGAACGTTCAAACGACGTGACATCCCTCCGAGCCTTTCATTCAGAATCACGAAACGATACGATAACGATGTAACGATCGACGAAACATCGACGATCCCGATCCCGATCTTTGCAAATTTTCCAACGAGCAAAATCACCGACTCGAGGTTAGAAAAAAGAAGAAGGACCGATAACAAAGAATATATAGCGCACACGCGCATGAGAAAAAAGAACGAGCACGATTGGAAAAGAAATTGCTACGAAATCGATTCGTTGTAAAACCTACTACTTCGTTTCGCTGTAATCGATCGAAGTGCAACGAATGGATCGCGATAAATCCCCGAGACGAGTCCCTTGGGACTCTACGGGTGGTTCGAACGTCGAATCGCGAATCTCGATCGGCAACGATCGAGAGACGTGGAAGAAACGCGTAAGTCTGGTTGTCTGCCTAGATCAGCGGGTGGTCTCGCGTTCGATTCGCTGAAAACGCGAAAACGGGAACGACTGTTCTCGCGCTCTTTACCATCATTATCCTCGGAAAAGGAACGCGTGGCCACGGCGATAAGGAACGCCAGGTATTTACAACGTTGCGCGTCACACCGATCTTCGTCGTCGATACCTCGAACGACGAATTAATCGACGAGAAAAATCTGTCCGCGATGAAACGACGATGCGGTCCAACGGATGGACCTACCGCGCGCCTACGGCTCTCCGAGTCCTCTCGATCTTTCGTGGATAGGCTCGCAGTGTGCCCACGAGATCCGATCGAGACTCTCACCGATCGCATCGTCCGGATAATAGAGCCGCATCATCCTATTTAATAATCGTACAATGGTCGACGCGATCCGATAAGATCGCGATCGTTTCGATAGGAGACGGGCGAAGAGACCCGATAAACGGCTCGTCCCATAATAACGCAATTAACACTTCTTTGTTCGATCAATTTCCAATCCAGGTATGTCTTCGCGGGATCGATAATAGCTCGTGCGGAAGATATCGTACTAACTTTGTACCCTTTCTCCAATAACGCGGTGTAAAAAAATATCATCGCGATCGCGAAGATGGACACGATGATGGAGCGAGATACAATGTAACCCGTGCATCACGCTAACAAATATATGCATTTCTCGTTTTAATTCTCGAGCAGCGCAAAGTGCTCGATACACGTTGACTCGAACCTTGGCTCGAGTTGATTACGATCGTTTACGACCGGTAAATCACTCGCCGTCTCTCCTTCCTCGTTTTTCTTCTTTTTTTATTCGCGAAACGTCACGATAGCCCTAATCGTTGAAACCGGTAGTAAAACGATCGTTACTAGTCGCGACAAAGAAACCGCCACCTTCGAGAACAAACGAGCCAATAAACTCGTTTTATCGGCCCCCCCTCCCTCTTCCTTCCGTTTTACCTCTCGACGTTCCTTCCAAACCTCGTGCACCACCCCCCTTGCTTGCGCGTATTTAACATACCGACTAAATACGAACAATGCCGAAGATACAACGGAGTAGAGACAACGGAGGATCGAAAGGGGGCGATCGAGATGGATAAAAGGAGCAAAGAGAAAGAAACGACGGACGTTCTTCGTGGATCCCGGCGTGGGTGTGGAGATCTTAATCGGATCCGGCTGCGAGTAGAACATCGACGATTAGGCTTCTTTCTGCTCGATCTCGTATCATCGATCCTTATCGTTCTTATAATCTAAATTATATACGTCTTTCTTCGTGACTTTGAACCGTGAATCATACGCGTAAACATAATATACGCGTGAAAGTGAGTAAGTTGATAAAAAAAAAAAATTGAAACGAAATTACATACGAAATATAAGGTAATAAGATTCGATCGACGAGTAGTGAGGTTGAAAGAGAGAGAGAGAGAGAGAAAAAAAAGGAAAGAAAAAGAAAAAGAAAAAAGATATCTCGGAAGATGGGAGAATCGAGGACTGGATGGAATAAATGGAGAGGGAAGGAAACGATTCGATTCATAGGATCGAGGTGGAGGCATATAGCTACATATGCATGGCAAGATAGGTCCGCGTCTACAGGGAGTGTGAGATCCGACAGCTTCGGAGGTGGCAATGAGCCTGGGTCCCGCCTGCCGCCACACCCACGCGCATATATCTTATTTTCCCTCTTTATTTATTCGAATTGCCGTTGGTCGAGGGGCCACTCTTCGAATCCCCATGGCTCCTTTGCCATAATAGGCGAACATGGTGGCCCATTGCCTCT